TATCCGGCAAGCTACGCATTTTACTTAATGCTTCTTTTGCTGAGTTTTCATCATCGTGACCATGCAGAGACCTGATCTGTTTTGTTTCCTGCTACGTCTCCAATGCTTAGAATAGCACTTGACTTAGAAGTCACCCAATAAATATTTATTGATTGAATAAATGCATGAATGTGGCCAGGGGGGCTTCAAGGGACTGTTGACTTTGGCCTTTCCCCCTCCTTTGAGCAGCTTTATGGAGATGGAGTTTGTACACTACCCCATTTGCTCTTCTGAAGTATGCAGTTCAACACCTTCCAGTATATTCAGAGTTGTGCAGCCATCACCACAATCAGTTTAAGAATGTTTTGATTGTGAAACAAACTCCTCCACCTTAGCTATTAATTTCCAACTCCCTCCTCCCCCAGTCTCAGGCAGACATCACTATTCTCTGTGTCTTTAGGTTTGTTTGGTCTGGACATTCCATATAAATGGAATCATATGACATACTGCTTTTAGTGACTGAGTTCTTTTGCTTGACATACTGTTTTCAGGACTCACCCACATTATTGCACGTGTTAGTCCTTCCTTTGCTGTTACTCTGATAGTGTTCCAGAGTATGAGTATGTCACATTTTATTTATTTTTTCATCATCTGATGAGCAGGCATTGATTGTTAAATCAATCGTTGTCAAAGGGGATGGGTTTGCTGTGATTGGCTCGTAATCATCCTGGCTATTCTTAGGGCTTCACATCAGACCCCCCCAGTGAAGGGCTGACTCAACGCGGGATCACAAGCCTCAGCCCTGGGTCCACACAATCTGTGAGCCAGCAGGTCGATACTGCATCCGCGGAGTTCCTTCCTTCTTCCCCTTACCTTTTTATTGACGTCTTGCCTTCCTTCCAGGCCATTATGTTTATCATTTTTTACACTGGAAGACTAATGATTTGCAGCATTAAAACCATAGAAATGTAGAAGGTTGGACGGCAGCAGAGTGAATTATACTGGTTCTTTCTTCAGCTCAATTTCTTCATTTAAAAAAACTCTTCCCCTGCCCCCTCAGTGGACACTGAGGTGCTGCTCTGGAGGCCTGCAACAAAAAAAAAAGTCACTGTTCACCTAAGATATTAAATACCTTCCTAGGACAGTCTCTGCTAATTCCTTGTGTTTCATCTGTTGGATAGCTTCGTGGTACACAGCTAAAATGAGTGATGTTATATTTCTTTTTTTTTCTTTTTTAAGAGTAGGAAGAATTTGTTGAGAGGAAAAATAAGCTTCTGTCTGAAGGGTCATTATTTAAATCTTAACTTTCTCGGTAGGTCTTTCCCTTCGGGGACAGAAGAGAGCCCAGAAAGTGGGTTGCCCACCAGCCCTGCTTCTCCAGGGGGTTTTATCGAGCAAAGCCATGAGGTGAGGCAGGCTTAAGTTGGGACGGAACTATCACCAATCAATACGATTACAAGTACAGTCACTTAGGTAATATTGACCCAGTGGCAATGGGTGTGAGGATGGGCGTGAGGCGGAACAAAACTATGGTCAACCAATAAGATTACAAGTATAGCAGCTAGGGTAATATTGATTAAGTGGGGATCAAATGGAGACAAGTGAAGCGGCAATGCATGTGGCACAGACAAGGACCTTCCCCAAAGGGGTGGGTGAAGGAGGTTTGGTGATTGATGCCTACTTAGAATACCAATCACGGCTGTTGTCTCTAGGTGGGTGAATACTTCTTTTTTCTTGAGGCCTGGCCTTCAGTGACTAGGCCTCCAGCCACAGCTGTCCTCTGCATTGACTTCTTCCGGGCTCAGCCCTGTCTGGCTGCCTACAATATCTCTGCCTAACTTAGCTATCCATAACATTCCCTTCATCTTCCAGCTGAAGGGGGTTACAGTTAAGATCTGCAGAGGTACTCCACCAGGGTCTATGTAAGGGCCCTTGATGGAAAGCAGTGCCTGGCTAGGGATACAGCTCAGCAGCACAGTGCCTGTCTGGCAAGCTCAAGACCCTGAGTTTGATTCCTGATACCAAAAATAAAAAGGCAACTCTATATTTCAAACAGTTGACTTTTTGTATCTGAAAGACTATAGCTTTTCTCATTTCCAAGTAATTAAGTCAGTCAGAAAGAAATACGAAACTGTTTTGTCCATTTTCCTTTCTTCCCTCCTCTCTGATCAAGGTGGGAAATACTCACCAGGAGTGTTTCCTGCGACGACCTCAGGTCATGAGTGAGGACATGGTCCACGGTTTTTAATTCAGTAGCAGACGCTTTGGGAAAGCAGCCTGCTGCTTGTGGTCCAAGCAAAAATGTGTAAATGGCTTTATTGAAAATCAATATGCTCTTGTGAAGTGTTGTTCATTTCTGAGTTCTTCACCATTTGTCGTTTCGTGACAATGAGAGTTGCAGGGAGTTTATGGCTGTGGTTTTCTGAGTTTGAGATTTTATTTCTCCTTTCCTGTGTTTTTTACCATAAGCGTGGGGTTAAAAATTACTTTGTGTTTTATTTTGTTTGCTTTTTGGAAGAAGAGATATGTGGCTTTTTCTTTCTTTCTTTCTTTCTTTCTTTCTTTCTTTCTTTCTTTCTTTCTTTCTTCTTTCTTCCTTCTTTCTTTCTTTCTTTCTTTCTTTCTTTCTTTCTTTCTTTCTTTCTCTTTCTCTTTCTCTCTCTTTCTCTCTCTCTCTCTCTTTCTCTCTCTTTCTCTCTCTCTCTCCTGCTTTCTTTCTTTCTTGATGACAGCAGCTAACTGCTATGGAGGAGTGCAATTTTTACCCATAGTGTAGTCTCCTAAGTGAGGTCAACTTTGCACAGATTCCCTGTGTGTCTGAGGCTCTTCCAGAAAACTGTAGAAACTTCTGTAGCCTCAGAAAATGGCTGAGTTCTATGGGCCTGGGAAGGCAGACATCTTCTCCTATAGCAACAGTGCTTAGTGTGCTCACTTAGGGCTACTTCTCACTATTATTGTAAGAACACAAACCCATTTTTAATTGGTCATAGTTTTGCTGAAAGATTAGCTGTGAGATTGAATTTTTCAAAATTTATGTGCTAGTTACTGCTAATGTGCAGCATCTGAGGAAGATCAGGGTCATTTGTAATGACTTCATTTGATTCGTAGAGATGAATTACAGCATTTTTTTCCTGTGCTGAGAAACTAGCTATTTTCTCATAAATTTCTACCAATGTTTTACAAAGTTTAACCTTCATTTTAAGCCTAGAGAGAGTATAAATCTGAGCAGTGAGGTATGGGTGATGGTAGCTGTGTCACAGCAAGGTCTTACTGAAATAAAGCCTAGGAGGAGACCTCAGGGAGAGGATGACAAGTGTGCCCCTGAATAATTTTTTAATGAATCAATGTCCAAGGATCACTTACTTATTAATTTTTATTTGCAGTACTTTGCAAATACATGACATTTAACATAATTAGTTGAATTGAGTTGCATTTATATAAAGAATGAGATGTGACCTTAAACAATTTAAGGTTTAAAGAACAATCTAAAGTTTTAAGAACAAAATATTTTATGTTTCAGTGTTTTGTGCAAGGAGGGAGGCCAGGACTAGCCCAAGGGTAGTTGTCTTATTTCTTAGCTTCCCATTTTTTTCTATAAATTCCACCCCACCTATACTTCTAGTCAATAGAATTCATATATTGTACCTTATTTTTGGCATATTTTACTCAGACTGATGCCTCAGTTTCTTTTTAGTAGCTTCTGATCCTGTTCTGAGAATCTTAAACAACCCCCAAAGACTTGTTCAGTCCCTAGAGAGGGGCTGTTACTGCAAAGTAGTGGTAATATTCCACACCATAACTTAAACATTGTCCGCTGTACAATTTGATTACTAGTTAATTATGGTTCTGTGTAATTTGATCAGAACCTCTAGAATTAAATCATTTTTTATTAAAAATTATAAAATTTGATTATTCCAAGAAAAGATTATTAGAGTGCCAATCAGGTGGTTAGAAAAAAATTGTCATCAAATAGTGAAACTAATCTTATCAACTAATTGGGAAACAGCCAGACAGACGTAGCAGTCTAGGAGTGCTCTCAGAGGGGGCTCCAGAGAGCAGGAAGCCAGCGAAAACCTTTCAAACGGTTCTGTGGGCTACACTCTCAGCTTAGAGGTCTGCAATAAAACCTGGCTACCTACTTAGTGTGGGCAGGTCTTAGAAATGTGATCTGCAGTAAAATAAAACCTAGACACAACCACTCTTACTTTAGTTCATTCAATAATATTATTTATTTACTTATTTGTGTATGCATCCTTTTATTTATTTTTGGTGGCAAGCAGAGTCGGGGGGTGGGGGGAAGCTAGGTCATTCCTGAAAGGTTTTCTGCAATTAAATCCGATAGTGAAAATGAAATCACTTTTCTGCTAGTATTTGGGCAACCAGCCCATCCATTCCTTTTCTTCTTTTATGTTCTACTACCATATGTCAGATTACAGGTTAGAGTTGATGTCATTCATTTGGAGTGCAGTGAGAGGAAATAGCATTGGAGGACTCTATCAGGGAGGTTTTAAAATTGTTTTTAAGGAGCTCTGTGTCACCTGACTCTGGGTTGATGAGGTAAGAATTGGAGAAAGAGCTGACTACTAGTCCTGCTCAGCAGGTTTAGTTGCCTTGGTCCCTTATCCCGGGCAACTCCATGTTGAGATGACAAGATTGAGAATCTACCTACTGTCTTCACAAACTATAATTAAATTGGGGACATTTAAGTACGTATTACACATTATTAAATAAGTGAGGAATGCCATATGGAGGTTTACAAAAGTAATGAGGAAGTCTCTAGCTACTAAATAATACACTTAAGCACTTAATTTAATATGCTGGGTTCAATTTCCTTATGGGATTTTTAGACTTACCCAGTTTGCTTATTTGCTACCATATTAGTTTTGCTTTTTTCTTTGGTTATTTTTTCTCAGGAAAAAATGCATGTCAGATAAAGGCCCTTATTAAATTAAATTAATTCAATTCAGGGAGATATTTTCTATTATATGGTAAGACTTTACAAGTTTCTCCAAACTCTCAGAAATAATGTACTTTGTTTTATTCTTTGTTGATCCTTGCAAACATTTTACCTCCGGAAATATTTTTCATGGATGTAAAATGATCTTCTGTAGATTATTATTCTGAAGAAAGTGGTATTATTAGCATTGGTACTTGAGTATGTAATATTATGGCTTTTGAGTATGAGTGTCCCACTGGTCAGGTCCTGGAAATCACAAGAGTAAATATTCACTGCCTCAGTATTGAAAGATTCCTGGAAGGATATATTAATAGCTTAAATATAGAAGAAAGATCTCTACTGAATTAGTTTTTCTGGACCCTATGACATATAGTAAGTTTGTTAAATACTAATAATATACCAATAATAGTGATAATGTTAATAGCAAAGTTTTAGTATTTACTATGTGCTTTACATGCTACATGGATTATATAATTAATCTTCAAGGTTGCCCTATAAAATAAGTGTATTACTTTTAGTTTATAGATGAAATGTGACTTGAAGAAGTTAAATGATTAGCCAAGATCATGCACTTTCTTTCTTTTTCCTTTTTTTTTCTTAAAAGACAGAGTCTCACTATGTAGTTCAGGCTAACTTTGAACTCTTGATGATTCTCCTCATTTTCCCAAGTGCTGCGATTACAGGGATGCACCAGCCATACCTGACTAAGTGGTGATTATGCCAAGGTAGAGCGGATCTAGAACTGGGAGCTATTTTGTGGGTTGGGGGCATCAATTTTTAGATGATTAGTACCGCATGCATTGGCTCAGACACCTAAATGTAAAGATTTTCTTTCATCCCCACTTCATCTGTTGCTTCTAAACCCTCCCAACCAGGTAGACTGTGTTACTACTTTATTTATGATCTTCTGGAGTTTGCCTTTAACACATGTATGAACAAGCGTGAATCTATTCCTCATTTAAGACACCAATTACAGGTTTTATTTACAATAGACTGCATGCTTTTCTGCGTCCTAGAGCCTGAAACCTCACATGCCTCACTAATTCCCCTTTTCACAACGGGCTCTAAACAGAATGACTTGCGTATCTGTTTGCCTTGACTAATCACTCTGACTAGGTGGTTTAGCATAGCAAGAAAGGAAAGCCCCACGGGCCGTGTCTGTAGCGGCATCCTCAAAGGAGGCTGTTCCTCCTAATGTCTGTTCCGTGTGCAACTATCTTACGGTAGACTGGTTCCTCTGCCGGGGTTGAGGCTTTGCTTTGGTCTAAAATAGGTGAGGAGCATCATGTATTCATGAGGTGGGCACAGATGTAGTGTATGTGATATATGCAATTTTTTAGAGCAATTTAGATTTACAGCAAAAGTACACTGGAGTTCCCATGTATGTCCTGTCCCCAGCATGCACATCCTCCACTACTGGTCATCCATACACTGGCACATTTGCTAGAAAATGTTGTTTTGAGGCTGGGGGAAGATTGCGTGTATAACACACTAACTCCTCAACAAGACTCCCCTTTAACTACAGTGTATTACTAGTGTCTGGCGTGCTCCAGGTGCTGCAGCGAGTGAGTGCAGCCTTGAGGGGACGCACGCTCTCAGGAGCCTGCACCCCACTGGGAAGTCAGGCCACATGTGAGAGAGGACTGAGGATTTGGTCACCTGGCAGTGATACACCGGTAAGCAGACAGCACTGCACAATACAAGACACGTTCACTATCTTAGCAATACAGGTTTTGAGGTCACATGGGGGTAGAGTGGGTTGAAACTTACCTTCCACAGGACGTCAGTGATCAGAAAGAGTCCAGCAGAGACTTCATGGAGGCCATACTTCTTCTGGTTAAGCAAGAAATTTTCCGGTTTTTCCCAAGACACTTTAGCATCAACCACTTACATGGCAACTGTGTGCTGAAAATTCGTACAAATGGTCTCAGTCGTTTTTTAACTAGGTCTACTGTAAGCTTTGCTTGACAATAGCTGGATTTTATTCAACATTTTGGAGCCGTGTCTCTGTGAGCAGAAGAGACAGCATGATGCCATGAAAAGAACCTGGGCCTTGGCGTCAGGGCCCTGACTGCCCTTGTCCCCTGGCTGTGCACCGCCTTGCCCCTGACCACACGACCTGCCTCTCGAAGCCTCAGCCGGTCCAACGCTGAGAGCGGGTGGTTGAGGTAACTCGCGCTGCCTAGCGTTTATACACACATTTTGTTTCATAAGGACCACGTGACCAGTTTCATTGAAAGGTTGGAGAAATCAGACTCTGCTTTAGAGGGCAGGACGGACAAATCAGACCCACAGGAAACATAATAAAATACAGAAGATAAACATCTCATAACTGCGGGCAACCCGACCTCCAGTTAGTCTAAGCGATTTGGGATTTGACTAAGCAGCTGAGTGCTGTGAAGGTGAGGAAGGAAGAACTCACCAGTGGGTCTGACCCTGCGCTTGCGGCTCCAGGCTAAACGGCCACTCAGAAACACCTTGGGCATTCAGCCAGGAGGGGCTTACGCGCCCGTCTCACTCCCGAAGGTGCCCGTTAAACGCCCGGAGCAGCGTGTCCACACCTTGGGCACTGCGGGCTTGCCGAGGAGCATTCCAGCGGGAAGTAACGCCCACACTGGCCTCCCTGCGGCCGTCCTTTGGCAGACTGGCGGCAGGCTTGGTTCCTCGATTGCTACCTCCGGAGAAGGACGCTGGTTGAGCGGACAGCCGCCAGACTGCCAGCCAGGCTTATGCACACTCGGGAACATTTTATTCACACGCTGCTTCCAGGGCAGCCCATCTTCTGAAGAGCCTTCTGCCATTAGTTTTGGAGAGAGGATTTCATTCCACCCTGCAGTCCCATTTTTGACTTGTGGCCTTAAGAGGGTTATTACTTCATTGGCGAAAGAGCGCTAAAATTTTATGACAGGCCATATGGAACTGACAAACTACAGAGGTGGCCCCTCTGCCCGGCGTCGTTAGGGCTGCGTGTCACCTGTCTCCTGCCTTCCGCCACTCTCCTGGCCTCTGGATGGGGCCTGTACCAGTGGTCTGAGTTCATATTGTTTTGGCTCCTAAACACGGCAGTTTTCCTGCGAAGGCAGTTGTGGTGGCGCACTTTTTCCCTCTTTCCAATTTCCTAGTCACCTCCACACATGGAGCTGAAACGGGCTCTTTCTACCTGCTGTGTGCATGGGACCTCTACACCTGTTCAGTCGTGAAACCACTAATGAGGCCTCTCCTGTCCTATTCGGGATTTTGACGGAATATGAAATCTCATTACCCAGAGTCAATGAGTGACATCTGCTCCCCATCCCCCTCCTGAAGTCATCGCTCCAGCCTCTCAGTGCTGTGAAAAAGATGCCGCTTGGAGAGAAAATTAGTGTCCAGAAAGCAAGGCGGCCTCCCTTGCCCAGACAGGGCTGTCGCTGAGTTTTTCAACATTCTGGTCCTATTTGGACCTTCATCCCAAAAGATTTGGCATAAAAGGAAACCTCATTATGTGTCTTTTAAAAAAATTAAACCTTAGAAATACGGGATTTTATTGAAAAGGAAGATAAGAAAGACCTTAAGCTGAAAACATTAAGATAACAAAAACTTGGTACTAAAATGGATATGAGTAAAAAGGCTATTTATATAGCTCAGTCTATCTCAAATTATTTCTTTTAGCAAAGGGCATATAAATGAATGCACATGAATATTATAAATTAATATATCCCATGAAATTTTTGTTTGGGGAGTATTTATGCATAGTGATATATATGTAATGGAAAACATATAAAATGCAGCACAATTAACTCATCTCAAAGATTTTTTATTCACTCACATATGAAAGTGTTCACTACATAAACATTTATTAAATGTTCAATAAGTATTGGGCACTGTAATTGCTACTGTAGATACAAAGATGGACAAATTCAATGTTTAGAAGAAAAAAATAAGAAAGTAAGTAATGACAAGCCATATGGTAAGTCTCAGAACAAGTGGGATCATCTTTCCTTGGACGTGAAGGCCTCAGAAGAGAGGAAGTGCTACCAGGATCTTAGGGTGGGCAGGAAGGTGCTGGCAGGATCCTGGCTGCTGCTTCTACAGCCTTTTGTTCTTCTGTTCAACTTTGGACTTGTTTGGTGCACACCTGTCACCCTGGCATCTCTCACCGGGGCTCTTCCGGGTTATACCGCTGTCTCTTGGTTCCTATATCAACCTTTCTTTATTTATATCTTTGTTCTACTGGAGTAGCTTCTTAAGAAAATTCATGCAAAGGTTATCTTTCTTTTCTTCTTTTCAGACTTCCTCTAACCATTATTCTGTGTTCCCATTGCATTTGTCTCTTTCACTCAAGCAATCATTTCTTATGATCTTTTTGCAGTACGTGTTCCTAAAGAACATACATATTTTGGTTTGCATATATTTTCCTTTTTTTAAATTTAAGTAAATGCTGTGTGGATTGGTCTGATCATTCTCCTCTTTCCTCTCCAATTCATTTCCTGCATTTTTGTTGCTCTGTTTTGTTTCACACTTAAAGTGAAGACATCCCTCAAGCTGCGTTTTCCACAGATGCCTGACTGCTGGTTAGGCTTGGCCAAGGGGAGGCTCTGGTGTTAGTTTCAGAAGCGGGAGGAAGGGGGAGGTTAGTCTCTCTACTTTAGCTTCTGTTTTGGTGGCCCTAAGTCGTGTGGTATAGCCCGTGCTGTATCCCCGCCACATTTACCCCAACCCTTCTTTCAGTTATGTAGCCCCAGACAGCCTCCAGTTCCCCATTTCACAAAAAAGCTTTAATGAGGCACGTTGTATGTGTTTCAAAAGATCCTGTTACACTTTAGATCTAAATTCTCTCCTGAAGGCCTCCGGTGTTTGGCAGGTGACTGGATCTCTGGGGTGCTATACTCATCAGTAATTCATCCACTGATGAGCTCAGTAGCTGAAGGTGCTATTAGAAGTGGGCCCTGGCTGGAAGTGGTCCCTGGGGTGTGGTCTAGAAGGGTGTGCTCTCCCCAGCTCCTCCTTCTCGCTCTGTGCCCTGGCTGCCGTGAGGTGGAGAGCTGTTAGGTAGTGCGTCTTTCTACTGTGACATTCTTCCCTGGAGCTAACCGGTGGTGGACTGCTTCCTCTGAACACCTTGAGCCAAAGCGAATCTCTTCTTTAAGTGGCAGGGTTGGCTATTTTGTCCCAGTGATGGGAAAGTGAGCAGTGTATTTGTGTAGGAATTATTTGGGGATATGGATGTAGTAGTGGAACTGTTGGATCATGCATATACTCATTTTGCTTACCAGAATGTTCTTCAGTGGCTACCTTAATCTGTTTTTCCACTAACTTTATAATTTTTGCCAGTATAGTAGACATAAAACAACTCTTTGATATTTCATTTTGGATTTCTCTGTGTTCTAATTACTAAAAACTGTTTCTTCATATATTTACTGATCTTTTGGGCTTATTGTTCTGTAAAGTCCCTATTTTTATCTTTTGTCCATTTTTCTACGGAGGCTACAGTCTTTTTCATTTTTCAGGAGTCCCTTATGTGTTTTAAGTAGTGATGGGGTTAAGGCATACATACACAATATATTATCTCAGTCTTTCATTGCCATATGAGGTTAAAATGAAGTAAAAATTTTTATATAATCAAATTATGAACATATTTTTAGGTCTATGGTGTATATTTTGTAGCTTTTAAATAAAATTCCTAAATTCATTTCTACCTTCCAGGATATGAAGATATCTTTCATAGTTCTTCCGATTAAGTTTATGGCTTTCTTTTCATTTTAACATCTTTAATTTATCTGGAGAATACCTTCTTGGGGTTTTAGGTAGGGATCAGCAATAGTTTACTTTAGAATGAGGCACTTTGCAACACCATTTATTGAATCAATGGATTTGAATATGCTTTCTTTTCTGTATAATTAGTCTATTAGTCTTCTTTTTCACTAAAACAGCACAACTTGGATTACTGTATTTTCACAGTGTTCTTCAATAGCTGGTAGGGAAAGCTCCTGACCCCACCATGTCTCTAAGGCCATCTTTGTTTTTATTATTATTATTATTATTATTATTATTATTATTTTGGTCTATTTGAGACAGGGTCTCACTATGCAGTTCAGGCTGGCCTTGAGCTCACTTTGTAGCCCAGGCTGGTCTTGAACTCAGAACTCTCAATGATCCTCCTGCCTCAGCCTCGAGAGTGCTGGGATTACAGGTGTACCATTATGCACGGCTACCTAACTTTGTTTTTGAACATTTTTTTTTTCTTATGAATGTTGTATTTATCAAGGTCCCCATAAAAATTCAAACTGACATTTTGCTTGGAATTATATTTTTAAAAGATATGCTTTTTGAGTTTTTATATGCCTAAAATGTCTTTCTCCTCATGATTAATTGATAATTTCAATGAGTATGGAATTGTGTGGAAAATTATGTTCCCTGAGAACTCAGAAATCAGTGGCCCATTTTCTTGTAGTATCATTTGTGCTGTTTGCAAGTAACTTGCATTTCTCCCTGGAAGCTTTTAAGTTTTTGTTGTACTCAAGGTTTTGATATTCTGCAACAATGTGTTCAACTTTGGGAGTTTTTCTTTCTTTTTTTTTTAAAGTTATTATCCTAGGCATTTTGTTTGTACTTTAAACTTGTGTTTCTTTATCTCCAGGAAATTTTCTTGAATTATTTCTTTAATTATTAGTGGGGTTTTTTTGGTATTTGGAATTTTTTTAAGGAGATGGTGAATTTCTTTCCTTTTCTCATGTCTTTGCTTCTTTGTTATAATTCTAGGATATTCCACTGATTTTGTTTTATGTCTTCTTTTAAGTATTTTATTTCAGTGATATAAAATGAAGTGATTTTTATATTTTCAGTATCTTCATTTCCAGTTTTTTCTAAATAATCCATTTCATACCACAGTGATTTGGTTTGATGAATGCAATAACTTTATTTACTTTTTCTATGTACATTAGATCTTTTTAAAAAATCTTTTTTTCCCATTTCCTTATTTTGAGGTCAGTTTTTATATCTCTTCTTTGTAATATTTATAATCCTCCTGCTTCTGGTTATCAGTAGTTATCTCTTTATATCTAAGAAAGTAGGATTGGATACTTGCATGGATTTCTTTTGCTGTTGTACAGGTAAGATTATTTCCCTTAAGGTGTCTCTGAGTAGGAATTCTAGGGGCAATTTTATATGGGGAGGGTGGGACAGGGGAAGGATGACAGTGTTCACTTTGTATTGAGCCAGAGGGAGCCAATTTACAGGGCGTGGGTCCACAAATATTAGAATAAGAAGGTCTTTTTTAGGAACACCAGAAAACATACTGTAAACATTTGTTATTCACATCTGCTCAGTTTCTTTAGAGAAAAATCTGTTGGCTTTTGATGTGGGAGTTTGTGCTGTCCTGTCTTCACTGTACTTGGGAAAGGCAGGTGCTCACTTGCATTTTGATGGACATTTTGTCTTGTACATGGTTTTAGACACTCCCCAATCATGACTGTGAATAAGCTCTACTTTCGTGAAAAATAGACTTCGCTCTCAGCATAACTGGAGGAGGGTCACTTGCAAAGGGACACTTGCAGTGATATGCAGAGGAGATGGCGCGATAATTCACTGTCTTGGCAGCTACCGAACTGTTGCCGGGCTGAGACCCCAAAGGGATTAAGTGCTGAATATGTCGTTGTCGGCCTCCGTAAGTGCAGCAATGACGTGTGGTGGGTGGGCACAGCCTTATCTCAGTGACCTTGCTGCGAAGAGGCTGCCGTGCTTTTCCCTTCCATCTCCAGCAAGGGCTCTCCTTTGGCTCAGTCTAAGCAGGAGCAGAGGGCACGGGAACAAGTTGATGTGGTTTATGCCGATGATCTCTCAGGGCAGATGTCAGCATGAAGAAGGGAGAAGCTGCGGCAGAGTAGGGAAAGTTGAAAATCTCCAGCACAGGACATCCGCCTTAAGACATACCTGTAGCTACCAGTTGTTTGGAGAAAGTGTGGTGTTTGAAACTGCTTTTGCTTCGGATACACTGGTTTGTACAGAAGAAATCCAGAAGGAGCATATCTTAGTCTACTTGGGTTTAATGAAATGCTGTAGACTGGATAATTTATACATAACAGAAATTTATTTCCTACAATTCTGCTGCAAGTCCAGGGTTGAGGTTCTAGCGGATTCTAACTGACGGATGATACCATTTCACCGTGTTCTCATATCGTGGATGGGTATTTTTTATGAAGCATTAGTCTCATTCAGGTGGGATCCACCTCTGACCTGCTCACCTCACAAAGCTGCGCTTTCTAACACTATTGAATTGGGATCAGGTTTCAGCACAAGGATCTTGAAGAAACAAACAATCAAACTGTATCAGTCTTCTCACCACTAGGAGAAACTGCCCCACACCCACAACCTAGCAGGGAGGAAGTTTCCCCTTGACTCCCGGTCTCAGACGTTTCCGCCCACGGCCACTTGGCTCCGAGGCAGACGCCGTGGTGGAAGGGTGTGATGGGGCGGTCTGCTCACCTCATGAGGGCTGGGAAGCAGCGAGCTGGAAGGAGTGCCCAGCAGGAAGGGGCAAGGAAGCAGACACAGTAGAGTCTCCAAGGCATGCTCCCACGACTCACTCAGACATGCCCAGAAATGCGCTTTGCTACTCTGCGAGGCATCTCTCAATCTACTCGGTTTTACAGTCATCATCAGCGGTCACACAGACCACAGCAGGCCTTCTAGCTTGGGGTGAATTTGGTTCTACTCTT